GGCAAAGCAGCTGCTGCTTCCAGCAGGGTAAGAGCTTGGGGCTTGGCAGCCAAAGCCTGGCGAGTCTGACTTCTTGGAGCCCCTCGTGCCTCGTGTGTGCGCCAGGTCCTCCTTGGGGCAGCCTGGGGGTGGAGATGTCCCTGCCCCTCAGGGGGGAGCCGCCGGGCAGACCTGGGCTCCACCGGAGTGCGCCCAGCACGAGACAGAAGTCCCCGCCCCAAGGAGCGGCTGGTCTCCCCCAGGGTGCTTCAGGCTCGAGGGAGCTCCTGGGGACACTTGTTACACAAACCTTCGACTTCTTTACACACGCTGAAAATATTTCTGTCGCCACCGCCTGGGCTGCAGATCTGTTTGCTGAGTACTTTGGGGCTGACACGACTTTGTAGTCATTGCCCAACACTGGTCTCTGCTGGGAATGGATCTCTGTCCAAGCCCTTAGCCTTGGCTTCAGTGGAGTTGCAACAGAAGGGGCGGGATTTGCTTAGCTACTTTTCCTCTCATGGCAAAATATCCCATGCCTTTTGTTTTATTTCCTGCCCACGGGCAGGGTACGGCTTTAACAGCAGATGATAAGTTATGATAAGCCTGCTCATGCAGTCTGTGCGTACAACCATCTTCTGTTTAAGCCGAAAGGAATTTGGCTGAGCTAAAGACTGTACGTCTGATGCTTTGAGTTTTCTGTACTTCCCCTAGGTGCTTGTATTGCACGCTCTTCAAGAGGATGCTGTCAATCAAAAATGAGTTTAAATTAGTTTCAGATACTACAGTCGCCTGAGTTTTCCTGGCAGCTAGGATGGTTTTTCAACAATATTTTCCAGTTTTTCAACTGTTAATCATTTCTAATATTTTTGTTCTGTTGCCGAGTGAGTGGTCTCTTTAGGACAAACTTCCAAAAGAGGAGGCATGTTGAAACTGCCTAGAGCGGCAGTACTGCAGGAGTAGTAGTAGTAAAGTAGAAGGAAGTGTGGGTTTTGAGTCATTGTCACATGTTAAAATACTCTGAAGTAGATAAAATATACCATGAGAGTACATTACAGCATGTTGAATGATTTTTTGTCTCTACATGTATAGGGGAACGAGCCAAGGAATGAAGGAACAATGACAGAGCTAAACACCTCATGATGAGTCAGATTTATGCAGGTAGAAAGACATTCTCATCAGCTTTAAGTGATGAAGAAAGAAATGAAAGCAAAAATAGTTTGTATCTGCAAAGTAACTTTTAATCAAGGTTTTGCTAAACTGGCAGCTATAAAATATCAACATATAATTAATGTTCTTTCATGGTACATTTTTAACAACAAAGGAACCTCTAATTTCAGAATCTGAAATATCTGGCTAGAATTTGTTCAGGGATGAGCTGCCTCTAAAATATCTTTACTGTTCATTTCTAAGACACATAGTTCTTCAAAGCAATAAATAGAGTTGTGTGATTGTGTAATCCTAATGAACAGGATATACTCTTTCTATATACTATTCTTTCTATGAAGATAAACTATTATCATATGTGTAATTGGAATTATTAATAGGTTTAGGGCCCATTCTTTTTTACTTTAATTGCTCTCAATTAGGGAAGTGGGAACTATGATATCCTCAATTTGTGGAGTTCCAGGAAATTCTTCTAGCTTGTGTGTCAAGAGGTTGTGGTGTTGCAGCAATGGAGGCGCAGGGTAAGGAGTATCTCTCTGGAAAAGTCTACATGATTTACTTTAAACTCTCAGGCCTCACAATTTCAGGGCAAATGTTGGGGCTGTACTTGGCAGAGGAACTATCTCTACCATGCTTCCACGCTGGTACCATTCTACTCTCTCCCTTCTCCCCTCCCTTCCTCTCCCACCTCCACCAGTTCAACTTTGTTACAGCCACTGGAAGCAACTTGATTCCTGCAGGAATCCTTGAGATTCTTGCAATGAAGATGCCTATTTCCACAAACATGCCAAGGGGGCAGAAGGGATTTCACAGTGCAAAGTAGCAATTTACTCAGGATTGTCTGTGGGATATTCAGGTGGGAGAAACTGTTGGAAAACTGCCAGTAACTTTACTGGTAGTCCTTTACAGATAGTAACTTTTGTTAATGAGGGATCCAGTTTTCTCTATTCCGTAGCTCACACAATTTTTGCTTCTCTTCTACTTCTAGAAATGCAAGGGATCACAGAGACTTTATATTGTGACAGATTATCTATTCATAATGCTGTATTAATTGCATTGTCACGGAGGTTATACATTAAAGTACAATACAACCAGTAATAATATGGCCCCTACAAGTTTCAAAATAGCATGAAGGGTTTCTGAGTGTAAAATGGTAATTTACTACTTACAAAAGAACATTAAAACAAAGTGCAAGTATAGTAATTCAGTATTTCCTTTTCATTAAACGTCTGATTCAAATTCCACAGAAATCAGTGAAGAAACTCCATTGAATTCAGTGGCTTTCAGATCAAGGCATAAAAACTGGTCATACATTCTTATGATAGGCACACAGTCATAAGAAAAATATGATTGAGATGTGGTGCAATGATGGTCACAGCTATAAACATGTTACGAAGAGCCATCTGCACATATAGGTCTGGCAACAAGAACTGCATGTTTTTTCAATCTCAAGGTATTTTTTTAAATTCTCCAGCTGCTGATAACATGGAGCCCATCCAGTGGGAACTTGCTGCTTTTTGAGAGTCTCCTTTGGCAACATTTCGGCAGAGGCATCTTTCATAAGACTGAATTGGATCTATATGAACAGCCTTTTACACTCATGCAGAATCTTGTGTAAACTATAAGGGTTCTTCATAGGTACAAAGGTGTGGCCTATACAAATTTTGTGTGACCAGACCCCAAATAACTGCACTTTCCATTATATTTGATAAGGGTCTATTTCATATAATTTATTTTCCTCCTCCCTACATTTCCTGTGCAGAGGTTTCAGAGTTTTTTCTGGAATTTTCCTGGAAAGATATTTTTCTACGCAGGCACTGGTAAAAAAAATATTAGTCAAAATGTTCATTAGTCTTCACTGGGCAGATGACAGAACAAGGAGCAATGATCTCAAGTTATAGCAAGGGAAGTTTAGATTAGATATTAGGAAAAACTTTCTCACCCGGAGTGTAGTAAAGCCCTGGAACAGATTACCCAGAGAGGTTATGGAATCTCTATTCTTGGATGTTTTTAAGCCCGGACTGGACAAAGACTGGGCTGGGATGATTAAGTTAGGGACAGTCCTGCTTTGAACTAGATGACCTCCTGAGGTCCCTTCCAGCTGTAATTTTCTATGATTTTATGCTTCTATGATTCTTTACTTTTTCCATTACAGTATTTTCTCTGGCAGCTTCAGCTGAACTTTCTTCCTACAAACATTTCTAATACGCTTTTGTAACATCTCCACAAATAAAAGTCTCCTTTGGGACTTTACCATCTCCTACCCAAATAATTTTAACCTCTTCCTCTCTCCATAATTTCTTTTACAGATTGCCACATTTATTACACATTTATCGTGCATCCACAGGTGCATCTCAAGTAGGGCCAAGGAGGTGATGCTCCCCCTCTACGCGACACTGGTCAGGCCACAGCTGGAGTACTGTGTCCAATTATGGGCACCCCACTTCAAGAGAGATGTGGACAACATTGAGAGGGTCTGGGGACAGCAGGGCAGACCCTACATTGAGAGGCTATGGGACCTGAACCTGTTCAGCTTTCACAAGAGAAGGCTGAGGGGGGACCTGGTGACTGTCTATAAACTCACTAGGGGGGATCAGAAGGGTTTGGGGGAGATCTTGTTTCCCCTAGCGCCCCCCGGGATAACAAGGAATAACGGCCACAAGTTGTTGGAGAGTAGGTTTAGATTAGACATCCGTAAGAACTACTTCACAGTCAGGGCAGCTAGGATCTGGAACCAACTTCCAAGGGAAGTGGTGCTGGCTCCTACCCTGGGGGGCTTTAAGAAGCGGCTTGATGCCTACCTGGCTGGGGTCACTTGAGCCCAGTTTCCCTCCTGCCCAGGCAGGGGGTCGGACTTGAAGATCTACAAGGTCCCTTCCGACCCTACTTCTATGATTCTGATTCTATGATTCCATCCAAATACAGCTGCAAAAGCCATCTTCTTTACCATATTTTAATCCTTCCACTAATTTGCTTATTTCATTCTATCAACTTTTCTTTGCTGCTTGGCTCTGGCAGCCCTGCTTCTTGTTGGTGATTGGCTAGGAGGCAAAAACTATGGCATATTTAAAACTGCAGTTTTTGCCTCCCAGACAATGAACAGTAGGGCTGCTGGGGCACCTTGACTAATCAGTGGTGGGGAGGGGGGGTGGCAAAAAGTGAAAGATTAAAGGGACTGCTGTTTGGTGCACTTCTGCCATGATTTAGGTCGGTCCCTAGTCATAATAGCCATAGATATCTTGTCCACCCTCAAATGTGTGAAAGTTGGGAAATTAATACCTGAGAACTGTATTCATTTAATTCATGACATGTATCCGACCTCCACACTGTGCTGCTGCATTCTGAAATTATTTTAAAACTCTGGAAAAAATGTACATGGTGTTTTCTAAATATATGCACATTATATTTCATGATCCAGAAAGGTTTCTCAAGAAGCGCATTTGATGGTGATTTATTTCACTTTGTGAGAGATTAAAACCATTCACCTTCTAATTAGCATCTTAGTGATATAACCATTATGGTTATATATCCATCACTAAGATGCTAATAGATAGCTATATAACCATTGAGGGATATTTTAACTGCTCAGATATTCAAAGTGTGTAGTCTTACAGTAAGACTGTAGCAGCATTCAGGAGTATCTGGCCGACAGTCTAACAGTCTTGGAGGAGAAAGAGGGGATTTATTTTCTATACAAGTTGTTTTAGAAAAGGACTGGATATAATACAGACCTTAAATCTGGAGCATGACAAATTGATGGGTAAACTTATGATCCCACTGAAGTCAGTGAGATTTTACTAAAATGGGAGAGGGTTACTTCCTCTTCTGGAAACCACCACAGAGTTGTGATTTTTAAGTCTGTCTCTTGTTTTTCATAATCCATGTTTGTAAAATACAAAAAAAAATGGTTTTATGATCTTTAATGCACACTATGTTCCAGCTGGAAGACAATTTGCAGAAACTGAGTTTTTTATGATAAATGAATAATGTGTGTATTTATATTATTTAATCTCTCTTTGTAAATATTGCACTTTCTTAACGAATGATTACCAGGACAGTAAGCATGAGCCATAACCTTATTCATTTTCCTAAACATGAGAAATCCTGCTGAGATCAGTGGATTACAGTGAGATTCCCCACATTAATTACATAAATAAAATGGGATTATGCTATGGGAGTGGTTCTCAACCCTTTTAGACTCAAGGCATGAGTCTATGTGAAACAGCACCGTTTAATTTTGACTTCCATTTTGCCATT